CCCTCTGCAGCCAATGTTCTTTATGCTTGGCAGCACCAGTAGTAGTAGCTGGTAAGTCCTTGAATTGGTGGCAGCTGAGAATCACAATTTGCAAGCTGCCCTTCATCTTTCGCAGGGCCCTTTTCTTTGGCAGGGGCCAATCCACTGTCACTGCGTCCCTCATGATACCCGGCGCGCAGCCGCCAGACGAGCTGTCCTTCACGTTTTGCAGGCCCTCTTCTTTGCTGCACGGAATTGGCCAGTCCACTAGTGTGCGTCCCTGACTCTTGTAGTCGCCAGACGAGCTGCTCTTCAAGTTTCGCAAGCCTGGCAAATGCAGTGTGCCAGAGCAAACCTTCCTGGCAGGCTCAGTTCAGTGGCTCCGAGGCCCATAGCTTATGAGATGCACGGGCAAACCGGGCACTTTCTGCACCTTTCGGCCGAATCACAGATCGACGGCGCCCGGAGAAACCCTGGCCATCGGACGGCGATGAGAGTTGGGTGGGATTTGAGACTCGCGCCGCCCCCCAACGGTGCCGTATGTGCGCGGCGCCCGCCCCCGCGGCGCGCGCTGAGTTTGGGAAACACGGGGAAACAAGAGCACGACGTTCCGTGGGTACGCAGCACCCCGGTTGCTTTCCCAGCCACGAACCACCAAGGTATCAACCCCGAGAGATGCAAAGATGGGCCTGATCACGAGCACACCAGTGATCTCTCACACCTGCCAACCTGCATGCCCTGACTGCTCCTGGCGTGCGCATTACATTCTGGCAAAAGCGTGTACTTTTCCCTTTGGACAGTAGTTTATTCTGGGGACGTCAGCATATGAGCATACGAATCCTATCATGATCTGACGTTCAACGTTATATATTGAATGTTCGTATGTCAGTCACTGACGTCCCTCTGGACACCGCAGGTGGGTTGAACCCGGTGGGCAACGGCGCTCGGTGGCAAAACGAATCATATCGGAAACACATCTCTGAAGTTGGGTTCAGTCAAGCCGCCCCACTGGCCCTAAAGCCCACTTTGAGGGCGACGCAAAGTCATATCAAATAGCTCACAGCTTCTGAGATCAGATCGATCTGAAGCGTTGATACTACTCTGAGAAGAAAGTATCCTTTTGGGGGTCTCGTCTATCGTTTTCAAGATGGCCCGGGGATGGCCCCTGGTTTCTAGGGGCGCGCCTGAGGCCCGGGCCCCAGACTTGCAAACTTGATATTATGGGATCAATTTGCAGGGCGATTCAGGGTCTATAAATCCAGTTTCCGCCTTAGCTTTGGGTCGAGGCAACAGCGCCACTTTCGTGCCGGCTTGCGTGACGCTTAAAGGCTATACGTCTGAGCGACCGGCACGCTATTTAAGTACTCCAGTCTGCAGTTGCGTCTCTAGCTTCCGTTCCTCCTGCTCGCGAAAGGCAGTAAGACATATCCGCAGCAGAAGGCATCACGCTTTTTTCTTTTCAACCTTCCGACAATCAGCTCCCGTTTTGGAACCTCTCATACCCTCTCCACCAGTTCCGGGCCGCCCGGCGCGTGTCGCTTCGGAGTGGCCATGGCAAGGAACGGACGCCGTCTCTGCGACCTGCGCTAGGGCTGTTTTGGAGTACATTTCGCCAAACTGCTGGATGCACCTCAGCAGCTACGGCGCTAATCTGCTTCTTTCCGTTCCTTCCGATCGGATGCAGAAAGTGGAAGCGCCCGACAGCATACATAATTCTGACAAAGCGGGCATGCAGCAGGGATCGGACCCCTTGCACTAGAATCTTGCACAGCGTACGGGATGTCAGCGAGGCGCAACTTCGGCGAATCTGTGACTGAGGCGCCAGCCAAGAGGTCGCCGGACGTGCGTCCACTGCCCATCCCAAGAGCTCACCTGTGGAATTGAGGAGGCCAAGCTCCACCCCGTGCACGTAACAAGGGGCGTCCAGGACGGAAGATGAAACGGATTCCTCGCGCCCTCAACAAAACCTTTGACCGCAGCTCCAGCTGTTCGGCCAGCCATACATCTGGGCAGACGTTCACCACAACTGGCCACGTCACGAACCGGGCAACTCGGCAGCAGCAAAGCTCCTAAGCTCAAGTGACCTAAAAGCTATCTCTTGCCCGGTGAAGAGCGTCTCGGCGAGATTTGAGTGCGATAGCCTGCTCGAGAACTTGCCAAGACATTGGACCTGTGCGTTCACAAGCCCACAACCAGCTTAGTTCGTTGGCAGGCTGGTCTTTAGAAGAATCTTGAACGGCGAATCTGTTTGGATCTGACATCAACCTTTAAGTTGTATCTGTATTCTAATAGCTTCCCCGCCCTTCTCAGGCCGATTGCTAGCCTAGATGGATGCAGGCATACGGATCTTGTCGGGTGCAACTGGAAGTGGCAAACGAGTTGGTGGGAAATGGAAACGAGTTAGCCAGTGTCTCGTTGAGTTACATTCAGTGAATGAACAGGCACGTTCTACCGATGGGTTCAAACCCCTATACAGCTGGTATATGACAATCGCACACAAATCGCTAGGCTTGTCTTGGTGGTCTTTTAAACAGTCCGGCGAGAGTCTTTTTTTTGCTTGCAATTGATTCCATCTCTTCAAACTACCCGTTAGTACGTATCACGGCTCACACACATCTCTACTCAAGCCACAGACGAGGAAACCTATCTACCATGATCGTGACGTAAGCCTGACGACTTAAGCGCTTGACTTCTGTTGGTAATGTCAATTTTCACTATCAATTCTTAAACAATCTTTGTGGCCCTAAGTCTGGTCTGCAACGCCCTGACATTTTGTACGTCGTGGCATCAGGATGGCCAACTTTGCTTCGATTCTGTGATGTGATCTAGCCAGTCAGATGCCAATCAGCGGACCTGCTGCGCAGAAGAAATGCTTTGATTCAAGTCAAGCGAGGGCAAGCGAGAAGTATGCTTTGGGCGCTCAACAGCTCGAACGCACGTGATGGAATTGTACCTGCAAAAGTTCTATGCAGCCGAGAATTACTTACCATCAGCAGGCTGAGAAAGCTTGGCATGCATTTTTTTAATTTTCGTAGACGGTCACGACATTCCAAAGAGAATGAGATGAGCTTCAAGAGTCAACTGCAAAGTGGAACTAAAGTGTGGCTCACTTGTTGGGCTAGGGCTCTCTTGTTGGGCAGCTAGGCCTCGACTAGCCGAATACTTGAAGGTTGTTCACTGCACAAAACCGGAAGTGAAGTGATTGTAAGCACGAGCGGACGGCGTTGATTGCAAAGCACAAAACCCCATGAGTGCTTGAGACATTGAAAGCCATCTACACCATCTTTCAGTGCAGGAACTCGCCTTCGAACCACAGGTTCATTGCTGCGAACCACGTACATTTTACCAACAATCATGTAAGGCAGGCAGACTAAAACAGTGCCACGACTTGCCACTCAATGGCCACCAAAACAAACCGGTGACTTTTAATTTTGTGCTGACTCGTCTTAAAAATCTAGATTTCCCGTCCAGCTGCCGGTATACAGGAGATGCTCTTGACGAGCATGGTTTGGAGGGGAAATCAACGCTCGTTCGCACAACCTTAGCAGAGCAAGACATTAATTAAGTTTGGTTGTTGTGCTGTTGGATTCAAAACATTAAGCGAGGTCGCCGTTAATACGTTAAGAAGAAAAAAGCTTTGCATACGGCATGATATAAGGCGCATCACAGGGTTGCAACCAACAAGTTAGGTTAATTTCACCATCCGAGCATGACCGTACTTAGTCCCGCGTTCAATGACGATGCATTTGCATGGCTTCGAGCCTTGTCCCACATGGGTGCCCACGTGCGCTCACCAAAACAGCCGGACGGATCAGAGGATAGTGGTCCAGAAACGATCAATTGGTTACCCATGTAGCTACAGATCCTTTGCAGCCCCCCGGGCTGGTTGTAGAAGCAGCGAAAGCTGTTGAAGTACTGGTGGTCCAGTGTTACGTCGGCGGCGCGAGCACATGGAATTAATGCTTGGAAGGATGGATTGGCGGGGCATGAGTTGGGGAAAAGCGTCCTTCCTGCAATAAAAAGACACGGAAAAACTATTTTGGACACAGGCCGCTTAGCCAACACTCAGATCCTTGAGGGGCATTAGGGCATGATGTGCGTGGAATTTTAGGGCCGGGGCCTGCATAAGCGGCATGCAATGCTCTTTCGCTTTCCTCTCCTATGAAAATTTGTGGCCTCTTCATCGCAGGTGCGTGACCTGGCGCAAAAGGGAGAATTCCACATCCCTTCGAGATTGTCTCCTTCAGCTACTGTGCTGGGCCCGCCGGGTTGGAATACAGGGTCCCCGGCTGTAGCTACTAATAAGTCAAAATCCAGTCTTCGAGCTCACTCTTACACTGCTGGTCCCACTGTTGAAGAAATGAGCATCAAGACATAAAAAGTCCAAAAACGTCATCTGGGCAGGAGAATAGGCTCGCTGTGCACGTGTTCCCGGCGGCTAATTCGCGGGAGTCAGCACAGTAAAGCAACGAACTCAGAAGCACACGGTCCGGAGTGTAGGTACAGGTCCCGATCACTCCACGCGGATTGACAATCGCGCCGTTGGTGGCAGCGTACTCGCAGACCAGTTGCGTTAACAGGTTCCTATCCAGATCCGTGACAGGACAAAGGAACGTGGATTCACCTGCATACCCGGATGAAAATAAGATTGAAACGGCAGTTGCTGCGTGTGCGCTCTTCGGGACTCCAACCACACGTCTGGAGACGAGGCCGGAAGTTTGAAGTATCGTTCGTTGATGTCCTGGCATATCATAGCGAGCCTCGAGCGTTCTAGCTCTTGAGAATATCAACTATTCGGCCCGGTTTTTCGGAAACAAAGTGAAAAAGACGCCGGTGGCTCACCGGCCTCCAGACCGCAGCAGCGGTGCATTTGCGACTCCACTTTTGACTAATGAAGCGGGGCTCCGAGCACTTGGGTTGCGGTTGCGGTCTCGAATACCGTTTGATCGTCCAATTCCGATTTTGCGGCCGCAATCGTAAAACAGCTTTCCGTGAAGCTGACCATGCATTTGAAGAGCGACTCACCCGTTAGTGGCCGCCTCGCCGTCGGCGGAAAGGTCAACAGCTGCGTTGGAGCAGGCGTCAGCGCAGCAGTCGGAGCAGGCATCGGGGGCCCGCTAATTCTGACTGCGCAAGGGTACGAAAGTGCATTTGTGAGGCACGTAAATCCGGCCGTTGATCATGAACGTTGATTTGTTCAAGAATTTCGGGTTCAGGCTTTTCGTTCATTACACCGCCACTATAAATGATAATAGCCCGGTTTAAGATCGTTGTGAGGCCACTTCGATCTTAACCCTATTGAGGTTTTTAGTCTATTTTGGTCTTGAACGTTGTGTCAGACCATTTTGATTTTAAAAGCTGAATTCTGAGAGGAAAACAACCTCAGCAAACGATCTTAAATCGGGTGTTGATTCATAGTGCGCGGCATGATCAAGTAGCACGTTTTCTAGGAAAGACCAGAACGGAAGAGGAGGATCGGAGGATGACATCCAGGGTCCCATATGGTCGAGAATCAAACAGGGTTTGACCCGTTATATGGTATCCAATTGGCCTGGCACTCCGGCTGGCCCTCAAATGTTAACATCTGCACCTATTTAACATGAACCATACATAGCGTTTTCGACTTGGGATACTATTTATGGTATTTACTAGCATGAACCTGTACGGAATTCATTTAACCAGATTTTCTCCTTCTATAAGCTGAACACGGATCTGAAATCTAGACTCTTTCGAGAAGCAAGGCTCACTTGGGCAGTGGGAGAAGTGTCCCCCCGTGAAAGCACCAGTTGCGTCGTAAGTGCACAGGGGAGATTCTGCGCTTGATCCGGCAATGGCGTATATACAGCCAGTGTCCTGATGGAAAGCGCTCGCGTTCGCGAAGTTCCGCTGTACCGACGAGGGGCAAGAATTGGGGAGGGTGCTTCCTGTTCCAGATAACATCGTCATACTTTAGCTCCAGCAAAGTACTCGCAAGACGACTAGCTAGTAAAATTAACCCTAGAAGAATACGAGAGGTTTTTGCAAAGCAGGATCGGGGACCAACGTTTGTCGAGAAGTCTATTGTACCTTGTTCAATCCAGGTGGACCAAGCTTAATAAAGGTCCGGCAGCAATGACTTCGGGGTACTTCCGATACATCTTATCCACTACCTATGCCAATTCACCCATTTTTTGGAACTCGGAAACGTCTTGCACTCATGCAAAGTTTATTTGAAGGCCGAGGGCCCTGCTTTCTCCTTTCATAGGACATCTAGGTAAAGTTGGAGTGTTGCCGGTCCGGCCACCTTCACTATCCGGTCCGAAATGTGGTTCGTCCGATTCTCTACAAAATCTGAATTTCGCCCTTTTTCACCTGGGCAGGAGACGGGGGGTGTTGGTGGAGTCTCTCCAGGGACAGTGACGAGAGCACCGTATGGGTAGTACGTGCAGACCGTTAGTGACATGGCGCGGGCCCCGCCGATCGTCACGTTGTAGGAACAGTAGAAGGTGGTCAGCGGGTTCGAGGACCGGTCGATAGAGGGGCACATGGATGCGATCATACCTGCACGTTAAGATGTTGCCCCGCGGGATAAAAGATTCTGCAATAGCTTCCGTGGGCGTTTGCGATGAGTTTGCCGTGTGAAATCCAAACCGGAGCTTCGAAATCGTTTCTGACGCAGCCGCGCAATACAACGAGCCTTGAACGTCCTCTTGAATAAACTTCGTTTCGACCCGGGCTCACGAAGAAGCTTGAATTAAGTGAATCCACATGAGTGACTCCTCGGCCTCCGGACCGCAGGTGCGCGCTGCATCTTAGGCGACTCTGCCCTCTCAGTTAAGCGGGACTTCCGAACAAGGTCTGCGGTCACACCGAACCCAACAGTCGTCCAATCTTCCAACCTAGAAGAGCTAGAAAGGGAGCTGCCAGATCCGCCAGCGTACACGGCGAATCTGATAGCCATTAATACAAAGTGCGACTCACTCGTCAGTGGCTGTGGCGTCGGAGTAGACGTCGCAGGCACGCGGATGCTCACTGCGCACAGGTCGAAGGCGCACTCGTGAGGGACAAACTATAAACGTTTCGTTGATCCTCCGAATGTTTACATTTTCAGCTCCAATGCTCTTGTCGGATAATTTCAAAATTACCTTTGATTTTTGGAAGAGACAAGATCGACCTCAGAAGAAAAAGGGAGCATTCAAGGTCTACGGCAATCCAATTGTTGAGCCGGCTTACCTGTGGAGTATCAAAGTTGGCCACTCGGATGGCCTTCAACTCTTTCTCGTTGCCAGTTGACGACCAATTTGATCTTCTAGAACGACTCTACCACGCCGCTTAACAGTATCATCTGAATTTGTGAGGAAGCCTCATTATCATCTGGATTTGTAAGGAAGCCTCATGATCACATTCGTCAAGTTCCCAATTATATTAAGATGCATTTGAAATCGAGGCCAGTGTTTTGCATTGCAAGTGCAGCGCTCACTCGGGCAGTCCGGGAAGTATGTCCCGAGTGTCGCGCCAGTCGCATTGTAAGCGCAACTGAAAGAAGCCCCGCTTGGTGCGGCTAAGGCGTACACGCAACGAGACTGCTGGTAGAAAGCGCTCACGGTTGCAAAGTTCGGCTGAACCGACGCGGGGCAAGAGTTGGGGTCGGTGTTCCCTGTGAAAGGAGAATTCATCAGCATACATTAGCTTTAACATATAATCGTAACAAGATTGGTAGGACCCCTAGAAGATTTCCAGAGGAATAGGCTCGTAAGGCAAAGTTTGAGACCACCGTTTCTCGGAGATCACGTCCCTTGAGCAGATCCCCTCTCGGCTCTCGAAACATCAACAAATCAACACGAGATCATTTAGCCGAATGACCGAAAGAAGTTTGTGCCGGAAATCGTCCTACAAACAAGCAAGATAAGCGTTGAGTACTTCATAATGTCCCACAAGACGAACTGAAAGCTGCGAACTACCATTTCTGTAATGGTCTTATGGGTCCAGATTTCATGAGAGGCGCCTGCAAAGACATGGGAAAGCTTCTATGTCCGATTTTTTCAGTGAAACACGTCAACCTTAATCTCTTTACAAACACGTTTCACAATTTAGGTGGACTAAAGGGCTCCAGCAATGGCTTCAAAGTACTCTCAGGCTAGATTCAATCATTCACAACCTCTGCTAAGTCACCCGCTTTCCCACGCAGTGACGTTCCGCACTCATTGCTCATTCAAAGGCCCGAGGGCCCTCATTTGTCCTATTTCAAAAGACGCCTAGCTAAGAGTTGGATATCAGCTGGTCCGGCCATCTTCTCAATACGGTTCCAACCTTGATTGACTGAGTCCAATTATATGCAAGATTGGGACGGGGCCTCTCTGACCTGGGCAGGAGACCGTGGGTATCGGTGGAGTCGCTCCAGGGGCAGTGGCCGTGGGAAACAGGACGGGAGTACCGTTTGGATTGTACGTGCAGACCGTTAGTGACGTGGCGGGGACACCGCCGATAGTCACATTGTAGGAACAGTACACGCGGGTCAGCGGGTTCGAGACCATGGCCAGATCAGTAGGCGCGCAGACGGACGCAACCATACCTGCACACGGCCAGCAGCGAACCTGAGATCAGACATTTCGGATACGTGAAGTGAAACTTCACCGAAGTTCTCAAATCACTCCAAATTGGTAGTTCATGATTATGGCTTAAAGTTCGCGTCCAGATGTCAAGTCCGCAAGATTTTCGCGCACCCACTTAGAGTCTGCGTTGGTGACGCAGTTTGCATCAGCTTCCGATGGGCCACTGCGGTAGTTTTGCCAGGGAACCGGATTTCCGTCACCAAAGCGACGGAAGCGGAGTCCGTCCCCAAAGCGGTTGCAGAAACCTGAATGCGGAAGTGCAAACGTGTCAGTGCTTCGTGAGTGCCATGGTTCCCGTGAGGAGCGCGGCAACGAGCACCAGAAACAAACGACTCTGATGTGAAAGGGCAGAAAGGCCGCTGCTGCTCACGTTCTGACAACTCCCAGCCGTGGTAGCCCTCTTCAAAGTAGTTTTCGAAGTGAACGTCCCTACTCAAAGGAGCACCGGGGGCTTCGGAAGATCCTTTGAAGAGGAGCTGCGGGAAACAGATCTTCTGGGAGGCCAATCTAGGTTCGAATACTCTGCCCAACACGTCCAACCCTGTCGTGCTTAAAATTCTGAAGACAGATTGGTAATTACTTTTTCAGTCTGCACGCGCAGGACATTGGGCGAAACTTGTTTCTATTTTTAGAGAGGAAACCTTTCAGAGAGCAAGCCACATGCGGAAGAGAAAGCTGGGAACAAGGAACAAGCGTCAAAAGTAGGTCTCCGTTTCCAGAGCAAACCTGCGTATCAGCACCACCACTTTTTACTTACCTTTGCATTCTGCAGAACGAGGCAGAGTAGGCCGAAGAGGCCAAGAAGGGACAACTTCGCCGCCATTGTTGCAAGCAGATGCAGGAATTGCGGACGGCTGGATTTCACTGGCACCTTGCTCGCGGTTCGAAGAAAGTTCAATCAAAAGTTGTAACAGAGGTGAGGAGGAAATAAAAGAAGGTGGTCGTGCGGGTTGAGCTTATACCAGATTGTAGACAAGCTTTCTGAGTCTTTAGAATGTGGACAGCAATTAGCTTGACTCGACGACAGACTTGATCCGTGATACCTTTCAAGCGGCTTGTAAGGCGAATCAACTCTGCGATTACTTACGAGAAGTTTGCGGCGCTTGCGTCCTCGAAATAATCCGAGGTATTCTGTCGAGTCTTCCGCCGTGCGCCACCTTGACCTCAAGGCTTTGAAGCGAGGGGTGCTATGCTTCTTTTCAACGAGAGAAGCAGACGTGTTACATCCACGGAAACACTTGCCCCGGCCTAGGAGTCAATCTGGGCGGCATGAACTGTTGGACGAAGGGCTTTCAAAGAATTAGTTGCGTACTACAATCTCCAAGGTCGGATTGGCAGTCCTTTCACTTCATACGTCCGGCTGCAAGGATCCTCACGTCGATATACAACGTTGGACTTTGAGCTCGTTCGAAACCGGGCCCCGAGGATTGCCGGCTCTCCAAGGGGTTTGGTGCAAAGCTTAGCAGTGTTTACTTGAGCCAGCCACTCCCCAGTTGCCCTGCCGTTCCTTCCCCAACTTGTTTCGCAATCGGTGTTTCTATGTGAGGTTACGGTATCATTTGCGGTCGTACCTACACTATATTAACCGGGCCTTGTTGTGTTGAGACTCTGAACCAAAGGCCTTCGAAGCTAACAAGGAGATAACCCTTCGCGGGTCTCAGTATACATGCGCTGCCGGGAAAAAAACGTTGCCTAATGAAGTCGTCGTCACGTGGTGACGACCCCCAACGGCCGATTAGATCGCCTGACGGCCTGACGGATTTCTCGCTCTGCAAGCTAGTGGCCTTTCCCTAGTGAAGAAACATCGGCACTGGGCTACGATCGCCCATCGAACCGAGCCCCGGCCTCCAACCACAGGCTCTACCTGTCCGGGGCTTAGAAATTGCCACGTGTCCTGGTAATCAGAGTTGCATCTCGCACTGACGCCTCGAAACCTCGCGGCCCAACTCTGTGCGTGTCACGTGGCCGCGAATTCGTTTGGCTGCTGCTTTGGGGCGCCCTCGAGGCGCGCCACCTCACGCCAGAGTGCATTAGGGGCACAGGCTTCTCGTGATTGCTCCTGCGCAGATTGAATTAGCAGTGACGTCAAGCTGACCGACTGTCTCAGAACTGGGTAAGGGGGCATGTTGATTCGGGAGTAAGGTGCTAACTTTGCAGCGCGAGCGGCGCGCACCGCAATCCCAGGACCGGCGGCCTTGTCTTCAACCCTCTCCGATTTTACCTTTGCAAAATTAAACGTTTGGTCATCGAATTCACGCCTTCCGGCGGCTTAATTGTTCGGCCGTCAGCTGAGTGCTCCAGCGTGGCCGGCGCCGAGGCAAACCGGAGCCGCTCGTCTGGATCTCCTTCCAGGCCACAACCTTTCATCTTCGCAAAAACAGGCGCAGGCCCCCTCTATCTGCGGCAGCTGCGCGGTCCGACTCGCGAGTCTTCGAGCTTTTTCACCTCGCGGCCGCGCGCTCGCCAGATAAGCGGCCCGGCCGGCCACGCAACGGGGATTCTGAGACATCGGAGGGACAGCTGGTGCATGACGCTGCCCCCGGAACCTCCAAACCCTGGATTCTCGCTTGCGCGCAGCGCGTCCGCAGCCGATACGAGCGCGCGGCCGTTCTGCTTTTGCCATCTCCGCGCGCGCGCAGGGTCAAC